CCGTTTCATTCGCTTGCTCTAATGGAAATTGCCAGGTCTCGTCTTGATTCTCTTTTCTCAATTCTATCAAATTGGGTCTAAATCTTTAGGGATTTTACATTTTTTGTTGTTGTGTGGTTTCTTCAGTTGCTGGATTCATGCTCTTCAGCAACCGACTGTGTCCAAGGTTTATACTGTGGGAACTGTCCTGCAACAGGAAGAACTAAACCCATCTGCACAAGAGGCCAAGCCACAATTCCAACTTCCATTGTAAGAATCTTTTCTTCTCTCTCTAGATTTGTCAATTTGAAGATGGGTTTTAGTCTTTAGATCATTTGGTTTGTATCTAAAGTTTCCAACTTTAAAGATTGGTTTATGTGTTTTTATGTGTGTGTAGATCAATGGATTGCCTTTCAACAAGTATACATGGTTAGTGACTCATAATGCTTTTAGCAATGCAAATCAACCGCCTTTACCTGGTGTTGATAGGATTACATTTTACAATCAAGAAGATACTGTTACTAATCAGCTAAGAGTAATGTCTCTTATTACCTACGAAGTCTCTTAATTTGGAATCTTCTTGGGGTAAAAACTCTTAAATGTGGTTTTTTTTATTTGTTGTAGAATGGAGTTAGGGGACTAATGTTGGATATGTATGACTTCAACAACGATATTTGGCTTTGTCATTCGCTTCGAGGGCAATGTTTCAACTTCACCGCCTTTGTAAGTATTTACCTTCGGCTTAAGTAGTCATCTTTTTGGATCGAAAGCTTGTAACGCGATTATTGGATTGGTAAATGTGGTTTTTGTTTTCTTTGTATCAGCAACCTGCAATTAACACTTTGAAGGAAGTTGAGGCATTCTTGAGTCAGAACCCAACAGAGATTGTTACAATCATAATTGAGGATTATGTGCATAGACCTAAAGGCTTATCAACTCTATTCGCTAATGCTGGTTTGGACAAGTACTGGTATCCTGTTTCGAAAATGCCCAAAAAGGGAGAAGATTGGCCTACTGTGACTGATATGGTGCAAGAGAATCACAGGCTCTTGGTTTTCACTTCTGTTGCCGCAAAAGAAGATGAAGAAGGTGTTGCGTATCAATGGAGATACATGGTCGAAAATGAATGTGAGTATCACTAATAGTTTATAATCTTTACTTTTTTCGGAATTGTCTTGAGTATAACCTTTCTTTTGCCAATTTCCTATGATTGTGTTTAAAGCTGGAGATCCCGGGGTGAAGCGAGGTTCTTGTCCGAACAGAAAAGAATCACAACCGATAAATTCAAAAAGTTCATCACTTTTCTTGATGAATTACTTCCCGACATATCCGGTTGAGAAAGACGCTTGCAAGGAACATTCAGCTCCACTTGCTGAGATGGTTGGGACTTGTCTCAAGTCAGCAGGGAATAGAATGCCAAACTTTCTTGCTGTTAACTTCTACATGGTACACAATGAATCGTAAAACTAAAAGTAATGACATTTTCTGCGAGATTTACTAACAAACCCGTCCGAAAAACAATGCAGAGAAGTGATGGAGGAGGCGTTTTCGAAACTCTGGACAGAATGAATGGACCGGTAATTTGCGGCTGTGAAACTCTTGCTGCCTGCCAGGTAATAGCTTCTCTACTCGCGCTCACGTTAGATATGAAATGAGATCTTATAAATTTTGGTTTCTTCATGTTGCAGCCAGAAGCAGCTTATGGTACTTGCAAAAATGTTACTCTTCAGACAGGAGCTCCAAACATGGATTCAACGGCTGGAACTGGAACTGGAACCGGAACCTACTCAGGTTCAGTTCAGTTCTCAAAATCCTTAGCTGCTGTTGCATATCCACCAAACACCATTGTTGTCTTCTGCTTCTCATGGCTTCCAATGCTGATGCTTCTACTATGACACAACCAACCAAATCTTGATCTTAAGTTCAGGAAAAATGATTTGCCCTAGAAAGAGAGTTTCAGATTTGATTCTTGTATTGTAGACTGCAGATTTATAGGCAGAAATCTTGGATATGTGTGTCTTCAGCTTCTGTTGAATGTTAAGCAACTTATATATATATATAT